GGCGGGCCCTGTAGGGGCCGACGAGTGGTGGGAGGTAGCGGGGAGGGGGTCCGGGGGAGGAGTCCTGGAGAATGAGACGCTGGGGAGGGGACGCCGGGAAGACGACCTTGGGAGAAGGCGGCGGCCAGAAAGGGGCTCTAGGCAGCGGCGCTGGGGAGGGGTCTCTGGGAAGACGACCCAGCGATGAGACGCAGGGGTGGTGTAGCTGGGGAGGGGCGACAAGCAGGGGGCGCCGAGGATAGGAGCCGCGGAAGGAATGCCCGGGGAGAGGTGCCGGGAAGGGTGTGCGGGGAGCTGCAGGCGAGTCCTGGGGAGTGGCGCTGGGGGCCGCGGCCAGGGAGCTGCAGAGCAGCGGTGTCTCCACGCGGCGCAGGCCTCCGGGGAGCGCACGTGTCCTTACGTGCCCTGGACTGGGCGCCTTCGTTGCTAGACATTTTAGTTTGAATTTTTAACTGGGAAAAAACCGGAGGCTTGGGTTCCATACCCTTTAAGTTATGGGGCCACATGTGAAGGAGGCCGGACCAGGACCGGAGGCTGGGACTTGAGCAAGAGCCTCCACCACTGGGGTCGAGTCTCCTGGCCGAGCGACGCCCTTCCGTTGCCCACCTCTGACCGCGTCTTTCAGAGCACGGTGTCAGCTTCGTCAGCTCCGAGCCCTCTGACTTTTGTCAGCCGCTTCCCTAATTTACGGGCCCTCTGGGGCGCCCAGCTCTGCACACGTGGTTACTTCTGGAATCGCGGGGCTCCCAAGACCACTCCGCCGGTGCCCACCCACTTTCTTTCGTCCAAGTCTTCTCGGCCCCTTCAAGGCACTTCCCAGTTGAAGCCTATTCTGACGAGCACCTGGGTTCCAGCCTTGGTTCCTTGCAACCATTCAGTGTCCCACTTAGTGTAGCGACAGGGCAGGGGCCTCCGCCGCGGTTGGAGAACTGAACCCTCACTTAGCAGAACGAACAAGGGAGCAGGCGGAGCAACCTCATTTCCCCTGGAGCTTCGCCCTCCTCTCCATCCTCTGCACAGCCTACGTCCCCCCCAGACACACAGGGGTCAAAACTGATTTTCTCTCTTTTCTGTGTAAAATCTGAACATAAGGTACTGGAATGATGATTTCCCAGTATAGCAAAGACATCTGTTATTTGCTTGGTGAGCTCATGACAGCCCAATTCTTAAATTTAAGATTCTTTTTTTTAATCTACTCTTATTTCCATTTGCTTTTATCCTTGCACCATAAGCCCAGTCTGTCCATTGGGCACAGGCTTCTTCAAGAAGCTGACCACTGTATAAAAATCTCTACCTGAAATCAGGACATGTCTCAGAAGGGCGTTTTCCATGCTTCAGCCAGCCTCCAAACTGCCGGCCCCAACCCAGCCCTCTGCCCGCTGCTCAGACCCATCCTTTACCACGCCCAGTGCCCTGTGGCACACATGCCAGAGTGTGCAGTCATGCAGCTGACTCACGCGGTCCCTTTTCACAGCACACAGGATTCAGTGTTCACAGCTTTGTCTTCCTTCTGGATTCACCTTCCACCCTCCAGACTGCACCACCGGCAGCCTCACACACAGCGTTTGTAGGAACAGGAATGCTCACCTTCCCAGGGCCCCTCTGATGGCCACTAGAGGGTGCAGTATGGCTTTGCTGTTACCCATACTTAAGCAGGACAAAGGTGTATTGGAGGCTCTAGATGCTATAAGGCATATGTAGGAAGAGTTTTTTGCTCACATAGTTTTCTTGCACTTGTCTTGTAACTACAGAATGTTAGCTCAACAAGGGATATTAGCATTTACCTATACAGTTAAATACTTGTTTCACAGATGGGAAAAGCCCAAAGTGTGACTTGCTCAAAGTCACACAGCTGGTTAGTGGCAGCGTAGCTGTTACACCCTAGGCCCTCAGACGCTACTTCAGGTGTGACAAGCAGAATCGCAGGCCCCAGAAGTCCTGCTCTTTGCAACCACCTGTGTAGTCATGGGCTGGCTAGTCACTTATGCTCTTGGGACCTCAATTTTCTGGTCTGTGAAGGAAACTAACAATTCCAATCCTTCTCATGGGACTGTGAAATTGTAAGCATAACACATAAATAATACCAATGAACATTTCAAGAACTCTTTTCATGTGGCAGGCACAGTTCTAAGTTCTACACGTGAGGTAAGTTCTATCAGTCTCCATTTAGCAGGTGAAGAAACTGAGGCACAGTAGGACCAAAGCTCCCAAGGTCCTCCATCTTGTAAACTTTGAGCCAATATTCAAACTATGGAATTAGTGCCTATATATATATATATACATAAATATATATGTGTGTGTGTGTATCTATCTATCTATCTATCTATATCTATCTATATATATATATTTTTTTTTTTTTGGTGAGATTTTTGCTATAGGGCACATGCACTCGCCAGAAAGACAGAGACAGAGAGAGAGAAAGTGAGAAATTGCCCCCCAGGGGGGATGGCCATGTCGCAATCCCTTCTCCACCATTCTCCTCTCGGGATCTTGGGCATGCATGCACACGTGCCTGGCGTGAGCTTAAGCCACTGGGCCTGGGACGCGAACCGCTGTCAGCTACATGGGAGTTCAGTGACGTAGCCATTACGCTAACTGCTGGTCCCTGGAATTAGTGCTCTTAATGTCTCAGCAAACTCTAAGGACTATGACGGATTGTATTGCCCCATGGTCTGCCTCCAAGAAGCACTGCAAACTATCTGTGTCATTTCTGCCACCAGCTCCTTGGGCTGATTGTGCCCATTTAGGAGCTGGATTTGTCTGGAGAGAGGCCCATTTCCTGAGAGTTCCTGTTACCAGTCATTTCTTCAGTTGTCCTCTTAAGAGATGTAGACTCTTTTGGGGCCACTTGTTTGTTAGGCAAAACTGACTCCTTATAGGCTCATGCCAGCAGAACCTCAGAGTCTTCACCTTGAAGCAAGTGGATCTCAGTTAGGTCCTCAGAAGGAGGCAATAGCTTCCACCTGGAGGGCAGAGGAAAGGCAAGACAACAGTCCCTCTGTCCTGCCATTTCCTAGAATGAGAATGGCAGTGATGGGGCTAGCAGGTGGTGTAGTGGTTAAGGCGCTGGACTCCCACATGACTGAGTCCTAGACTCAACAGCTTGAAACTCACTCCAGGTGCATGTGTGTGTGTGTGCCCCAAATCCCAAAAGAATGGAGGAAAAGGGATTGTGAAGTGGCCATCCCCTTGGGGGATGATTTTTTACTTTCTTTATCTTCGCTTCTCTCTGTTTCTCTGGTGAGTGTACACACCCTATAGCAAAAATCTCTCAAAAAAAAAAAAAAAAAAAGTCTAAGGAGTGATAAGAACAGTTGGCAGATGCTAAAGAAAGCCTTAGACAAAGAAAGCCTTACTTAGACAAAGCCAGACTGAGCTCTGTCTGTGTCATGCTGGGTTATGTTGGAGTCCTACCCCCTCTTTTTTCATCTATTATTTGGATAGTTTAACCCATTTACATTTATTGTGACTGCTTTTCTATTCCTTTCCTTTATTTCTTTCTCTCTCCTTTCCCTTTCTACTTTACTTTTTTTCCATTTCTTTCATTACCAAAGGGCATGTGTACTTGCCAGAGAGAGAGAGAGCACCCCACAATGGGTAGGGTCACACTGTGATGCTCTTTCCTTCATTCCTCCTCTCCGTCCAGATTTTCAGCACACCACACATGCACACATGCTTGGTGTGTTATTCAGGCCATTGGGGCCGAGACTCAAACTGCAGTAGGTCATGTGGTATCTAGTGTCCTTAACCACTACATTATGGGGCAAGTCCTTCTTTCTTCATTAAAAAAAAAAAATTATTTTTATTTAACTTTGTTATTTATTTTATTTATTTATTTTTTATTCAACCAGAGAGGGATAGAGAAAGAGAGAGAGAGAGAGAGAGAGAGAGAGAGAGAGAGGAGAGAGAGAGAGAGCTGTCAAGTCCCAGACTCAAACCACAATCAGCCATGTGGGAATCCAGCACCCTTAATCACCACGCCACGTACCAGCCCCTTTCTTCATTTTTAAAAAATCAGCTTTACTGAGATATAATTCACATACCCTACAATTCACACATTTGACATGCACAGTCATTACCAAAGTTAACTTAAGAACATTATATTACCTTGAAAAGAAACATTATATCCTTTAGTTATCCCCCAACTTTCCTGCCTTAAGCAACTACTAACCTATTTTCTGTCCTACAGATCGGTCTATCCTGGACATGTTATATAAATGGAATCATGTGTACGTGACCTTTTGTGGCTGGCTTCTTCTATTTAGTATGATGCTTTTAAGGTTAATCCATGTTGTATTACATATAAGTACCTAATTTATTTTTCTGGATGAATTATATTCCAGTATGTGGATATATCACATTTTGATATTTATTCATCAGTCGATAGACATTTGGATTGTTTCCACCTCTTGCCTATTATAAATAATGCTGCTATGAATGTTCGTGTATAAGTTTTTGTGGAGACATGTGTTTTCATTTCCCTTGGAGATGTATGCAGGAGTAGAGTTGCTGGGTCAAATAGTCAGTCTACATTTAACATTTTAAGGAACTTCCATACTGTTTTACAGAGCGTCTGCACCATTTTACAGTCCCACAAGCAGTGTAAGAGGGTTCTGATTTTTTTACATCCATGTCAACACTTTTTATTACTTGTCCTTTTGATTACGGCCATCCAACTAGGTATGAAGTACTACTTCATTGTTTGATTTTTAAAAAATTGCCCTGATAACTAATTATATCATGTATCTTTTCATGAGCTTATTAGCCTTTTGTATATCTTCTTTGGTGAAATGCCCATTGAATTCCTTTCCTAGTTTTTAATTGCTTCTTTGTTTTCTTACTGCAGAGTTTAAAAAATGTATTCTAGGTATGTGTCCCATGTCAGATATATGTTTTGCAAAGATTTTCCCCATTCTAGGAGCTAGTCTTTCACTTTCTTAACAGTGTCCTGAGGCACAAAGATTTTACATTTTGATCACATCTACTTGTTGTTGTTACTTCTGCTTGGTGACATATGTCAGTATGTATGCTAAATCCACAATCATGAAGATTTACTCCTGTGTTTTCTTCTAAGAGTTTTATAGTTTGGGTTCTTAACATTTAGATCTTTGGAACCAGCAGTTAGTGTAATGGCTATGTCGCTGGACTCCCATGTAGTTGACCGCAGTTCGAGTCCCGGACCTGGTGGCTTGAACTCACACCGGGCATGTATGCGTGCATGCCCAAGATCCCGAGAGGAGAATGGAGGAGAAGGGATTGCGGCGTGGCCATCCCCCCCAGGGGGTGATTTCTCAATTTCTGTCTCTCTGTCTCTCTCTGTCTCTCTGGTGAGCATCTGCGCCCTATAGCAAAAACCTCTCCAAAAAGAAATTTAAATCTTTGATCTATTTTGAACATTTCTTTATATGATGTGAGGTAAAAATACAAATTAATTCTTTGTCTGTGGCTGGGCCATGTCCAGGAGCATTTATTTTAGAGCTTGTTCTTTCTCCTCTTGAATGATCTTGGCACTTTCTTTTTTTTGGAAAGGTTTTTGCTATAGGACGCGTGTGCTCACCAAAAAGAGAGAGACAGAGAGACAGAAATTGAGAAATCACCCCCTGGGGGGGATGGCCACGCCGCAATCCCTTCTCCTCCATTCTCCTCTTGGAGTCTTGGGCACACATGCACACATGCCTGGCATGAGTTTAAGCCACTGAGTCAAGGACTTGAACTGCTCGAGTACATGAGAATCCAGCAACATAACCATTATGCCAACTGCTGGTCCCAATCTTAGCACTCTTGCTGAAAATCAATTGGCCATAGATGGTTGGATTTATTTCTGGACTCTCATTTTATTCTAATGATTATACCAATACTGTACTATCTTGATTATTGTAGCTTGTTGTAAGTTTTGATATAGGCAAACAGAAGACCTCCAACTTTGTTCTTGTTTTTCAAGGTTGTTTTGACCATTCTGTGTCTCTTCCATTTTCATATGAATTTTAAGATCAGCTTAGCAATTTCTTAAAAAAAATTCTAAAACAATATTTATTTAATTTATTATTATTGTTATTTAAAAAAAATGTTGTAAGGCAAATGCACACACCAGAGAGAGACAGAGAGAGAGAGAGAGAGGCAGAGAGAGAGAGAGAGAAAAGGAAAGTGAGAAAGCAGGCTACCACAGTCATGTGGGAGTCAAATGACTTAACCACAGCTTATCAACTTCTGCAAAGAAGCTAGCTGAAATTCTGACAGATATTGTGCTGAATCTATAGATAATTTTGGAGACTATTTCTTTGTTAACAGTATTTAAGCTTTGCAATCCATGAACGTGGGGTATCTTTCCATTTAATTAGGTCACCTTTAATTTCTTTCTTTTTTTTATATTTTCAGAGTATAAGTTTTGTATTTATTTGTTAAATTTATTCTTTAATATCTTATTCTTTTTGATGAAATTGTGAGTGGAATTTTCTTAATATCATTTTTGGATTGTTCATTACTAATGTGTAGCAATGCAGTTGATTTTTACATATTGATCTTGTATCCTGAAAACTTGCTGAGCTTGTTCTTAATTTTAATAGTTTTTTACATGACTCAGCCAGTGTGACTACCACCTCACACTAAAAAATATTCCTAAGGATTTTCTATATGCAAAATCATGCCATCTATGAATAGAGATTTACTTCTTTTTTTCCAGTTCAGACTTCTTTCTTTTCATTTTCTTGTGGGGAACCACTTTTATAGACTCACTGGATTGCCCACAGAGAACTCACTCTACAGAGCAGGCTGGGTGGTGTTTATATGAGGCCATTAGGCCTGTAGGAATAAGGCTGGTATGTGAAGACTTATTTGGTTTGGGATGTCTGTCTCCTCAGCTCATCTGCATCCATAATGACCTCTCTTATTGCTTCACATAGCTAAGGTATTTTCTTTTTTTTTTTTCGAGAGATTTTCACTGTAGGGCGCGTGCGCTCGCCAGACAGACAGAGAGAGACATAGAGACAGAAAGCGAGAAATCACCCCCTAGGGGGGGATGGTCACGCCACAATCCCTTCTCCTCCATTCTCCTCTCGGGATCTTGGGCACGCACGCACATGCGCCCGGCGTGAATTTTAAGCCACCGGGTCAAGGCCACGAACCGCGGTCGACTACGTGGGAGTCCAGCAACATAGCCATTACGCTAACTGCTGGTTCCCCAGCTAAGGTATTTTCTAAAGGCATGTTGCTGAAGAATCAGACAACTTCTATAAACATTATTATGTGAAACTCCATTTATTGCAGGAATATTTAAGGTTACTACTCTGACTCAGTTTTGTATAATATAGTTTTTTTCTGCCCCTGTTTTCTTCTCCTCTAACATGGCAATATTCGTGTTAAAGGTATGTCATCTCTGTATTTTTTCCTTTTTTGATTTCTCCATGGTATTGCAGCAGAAGCACACACAGGAATATGGAAAAATCTTCAAGTCTCACTTTGGTCCTCAGTTTGTAGTATCTATTGCAGACCGCGACATGGTGGCTCAGGTGCTCCGGGCGGAGGGGGCCATGCCCCAGAGAGCCAACATGGAGTCCTGGCAGGAGTACCGAGACTTACGAGGGAGATCCACCGGGCTCATCTCAGCGTGAGTACAGGGGACCAGGCTAAACCATGGATAAGAATGCACAGAAATTCCAGTGGCATAGTGTCAAATAGCCTTATTCCATGATCTCCCAAACACAGGTGTGGCAGGGTCAGGCTAAGGCTCTCGTCATCCTCTGTGAAGAGGTTGCCAGCAGGTGTGAGGTGGCAGTCACACTGGCTGAGTCATGGGTGGGAGCTCTTCTCAAGCAATACTCAGTGGTTTTAGGTGTCTATTCAGTGACTATCAAAGGAGCTGGAACTCAAAAGAGCCCCATTTCCTACGTGTTTTAGGACAGCTGAATGAAAGCCCCTCAAGGAGGGCCTAAGAACCTCCAGCATTAATCACCATGGGATGATTTTCCTATCTCATAGGAGTCTGAGATTGTTAATTTTGTTGAAAGTTTATTTTGAGAGAGAGAGAGGCACACCCAAAAGGATCCTCACACTGTGATCCCCCTGCAGCCTCGGACAGCCTGGATCACAGGCACATGTGCGCATTGCGTACAGGGAAGTCTTGGCATGCAAATGTGGGACTTGCCCCTGTGGCCTCTGCATTTCAGAGCCTTGATTTGAAACTGCCACGCAGGGAAGAGGACATGGGGCTTCTGCAGTGCCCCTGGTCCAGATCCCTGTGGCTTAGTCTGCTGGTAGCTCTTTTGATGTCCGTGTCCTTATACACAGATTGGGGAGAAACACAACCAGTTTCTCCAGTAAGGTAGGATACGGATGTGACTGAATATTGCCAGAGTCCCTCCATTTCTGTCCTGAGGTACATAATTACACAGTTCTTCCTGGCTGTCTAGCCCTAGAGGGGAGCCTCCGGAGGCTAAAGTGAACAATCTGCTCCATCAGCTGGGACTTGGGAGTCTGTGTGGAAGTTTGGGCACCCTCTTAGCTGAGACAGGAGTGAGGCTGGTGGCATAGCACAGTTGGGGGCTAGGGGGCGCCCAGACTTGGGATACTGCTGCCTTAGTTGGGGTCCCCAGAGTAGGTCTTGAGATGAACCTTGCTGTCAAGGGGTTGATTTGGAAGTGGGGACGTGGGAGAGGAATGGGAAGAAAACAATAAAGGTTGTGAGGGATATGAGCTCCTCCAGGAGGCAGCTGTGGCTCGGCCTGAAAGACGCTCTGAGAACCGCAGAGCGTGTACCTCAACCTGCTCCCGGGCTTCACACCACATCCCGCCCTCACTGATGAGGCTGGCATCCGTGTGCAACTGTGGCGAGCTCCAGGGCAGCCAGGAAGCCCAGTGCCCAGTGCCCTAGTAAGAAGCTTGCAGTTTCTCTCTTCCTTTGTTTATAGCAATACTTAATTTATATGAAGACATATCTGTACATGAGGGATTATAAGAAGTTCATAGAAAAATGGAATTAATGAGTTTTATTTTGGTGCAAAATGAGTTTATTTTGGTGCAAAAAATCAACTCTATGTATAGCGTTTTCATATTATGCATTTTCCATTAATTTTTTGAAAACTCCTCATTTATATAAACTCTTTTATCTTTTATAATCAGCAGGCTTGTGTTATTATGATATTATTTTAAGGTTTCCCAAAGCAATCATATTACTTTTACTAAAGGTGATTTCCAGTGGTAATTTTTCCCCTTAAATTTTGCTTCAAGGGCAATAGCTTAAGCTCTATTTTTTAAAACATTGATTTATTTAATTCGTGATAAAGCATGTGTGTACATGAGTTTCAGAGATAGAGAGAGAAAGAGAGAGAGAGAGACAGAGAGAGACAGAGATATACCCTTGATGGGGTCTGTCTTGCTTGCTTCTCTTTTTCCAGCCCTCTAGTCCTTCAGGATCTTGGGCACATGTGTACAGCGGGCATGTTTTCAGGCCAACTGAGGAATCCAAACCTGTGGTCAGCATTTGGCTTCCAGCATTGTTCAGTTTGCTATGACTGTGCCACCAAGCTGGGCCAACAACTTAAGTTCTAAAGGCACTGGGTCGCAGTTACTATTCCTAGCTCCCTGGCAAGCAGTCTTTCTTGTCTTCATTTCTTTTTGATTGGCAGATCTTGTTGACCCATTTTTTAAAAAAAAATTATTTTATGCATTTCTTTCATGAGAGAAAGAGAGAGAAATAGGCACTCTTGACAGGGTCTCATGATACTGGCATCCCCTCCTCCCAGGATCACGCGCACATGTGTGCCTGGCATGTTTCAGGTCAACCCAGATTTGAACTGCCATCTTCCTTGTGGCTCCAGCATTGCAGAGCAGCGCCCTACCACCTGTACCACTGTGATTGGGCCTCTTGTTGATTCTTTATGACTGGGAAATTTTTAGAGGTCCTTTGAATTCTTTTCTGGAATGTCAGTGTATGTAAGAGTACTTGAAACTCACCTTATTCTTCTAGGGAGGGTGAACAGTGGCTCAAGATGAGAAGTGTGTTGAGACAGAGAATTCTAAAGCCGAAAGATGTGGCCCTTTTTTCTGGAGAAGTCAACCAAGTTATTGCTGATTTAATTAAAAGAATATACATCCTCAGAAGCCAGGCGGAAGATGGAGAAACTGTGACCAACGTCAATGACCTTTTCTTCAAGTATTCCATGGAAGGTGAGGTGGAGTTGGGAGGGAAGGCAGTGGTTTCTGTCCACGAGCGTCTGGCGTGCCCAACCCTGTGCCGGCCCCGGACATACACATGTGTAGTCCTCATAAATGCCAACGTGAGCCAGGTGCCACTTTGGCTTCACAGTCGAGGCTGAGACGGACTTTTTCAGTCCCCTTTTTCAGAGGTAGGAAGTTTGTTTCAAATCCAGGTCTTTTTAACCCAAGAATCCATGTTCCTAATTACTATACATTTTGTTTGAGTGTAATTTTGAAAAATGAATGAAGTTTAGCCCAGCTGTGGCGACGAGTGCTGCTAAGACACTGTGCTCAGCAGGCTGGAAGCACAGGGGAGGCTTGGGTTTGAGCTATGGTTCAACGTAAAGGCCAAGCAGAGTGGCCTGCACCTGTGATCCCAGCGAGTCAGGCTGCCGAAGCTAGAGGATTGTGAATTCGAGGCTGGCTTGGGCAACGTGACGAAAAGCACTGGATGTGGTGGCACATCCCTGGAGTCTTAGCTGGGAGGCTGAGGCAGGAGGACTGCAACAGTGAGAGTCTGTCTATAAGAAAAAAAAGAAAGGAAGAAAAAGAAAATGAACAGAGTTTAGAGGGCACCTACTACAAAATCATTCTAGATTTTAAAATTTGTGTTGGGTGGGCAGTGCATCCCTCTGGTACAAATAAGAAATTCGGTGAAAATTCTCCCTCTTTCTCAAGTGCAGCTAACTTCACCAGTTTCTTAAGTAACCATCAAGAGTTTTTTAATTTGGTTTGGTTTGGTTTGAATTTATTTTTTTTTTAAACTTGCCAGAGGGTGTATACACTTGCCAGAGACAGAGAGAAAGAGGGAGAAAACACCCATCATAGGGTGTGGTCATGCCGAAATCTCTTCTCATGTCTCCCTCCTTTTGGGATTTGGGACACATGCACCTCTTCAGTCTTGGCCAAACTACTTTAATTCACAGAGCTTTTACCTTTCTCCTTGTACGAGGGGTTTCTTTTGTCTTTATTCATGCTAGAGTGTGTGCATGTGGATGTGAGGAAGAGAGAGAAATGAGCACTCTCCACAGAGTCCGGTTGCTCCATGGTTCCCCTTCCTCCACCCACCAGCACATTAGGTCCTGGGCACTCATATGTCTGGTGTGGTCAGCCTGCGACAACTAGGGATTTGAACTGTGGTACTCATGTGGGTCCGGCTTCTCTTGAGCAGTGTGTTACTGCTGAGCGAGCTATAGAGCAGGTCCTTAATGGGCTCTTACTGTGAGTCTCGCAGGGTCATGGGGCTCCTTGGGTGGAATGGTGTATGCTGACCTCACCGTACAGAGCACAGCACTGAGCACTGGCCAGGCCTTACCCTGTCAGCATGAAATGCACAGCACCTGTGGTTCAGGATGCAGCAGGAGACCTCAGATGAGTGACGATGCCTTACCTGAGCAAGGCACAAGACTGCTCTAGAAAGTTACATTTATCTGCAGATGTTGCATGTCAAAATGGTCAATCATCGAGGCCAGCAGATGGTGTGGCGGTTAAGGCGGCAGGACTTTCACATGACCGACTGTGGTTCAAACCCTGGACCTGGTGGCTTCAAAATCATGCTCAGCATGTGTGCATGCATGCCCAAAATCCCAAGACGAAAATGGAGGAGAAGGGATTGTGGTGTGGCCATGCCCCCTGGGGGATGATTTCCCCCTTTCTTTCTCTGTCTCTCTCTGGTAAGCACACATGCCCTATGGCAAAATGATTTTTGAAAAATGGTTAATGATCTAGAACAGAGTTATTTTTTTTTAAAGATTTAATTATATTCATTTGTTTATTCATTGATTTTGAAGTTGACCAGAGAAAGAGAGAAAGAGAGAGAGAAAGTGAGCAAGCAAACTGCCACGTCCAGGACTTAAACTGTAATTGCCCATGTGGGAGTCCAGCACCTTAAGCACCACGCCACCTGCTGGCCCCTAGGAGAGGATTTTAAAACTCTTTCCTGCCTAGGTGTGGCCACCATCCTTTATGAGAGCCGCCTGGGCTGCCTGGAGAACCGTGTGCCCCAGCTGACCGTGGAGTACATTGAGGCCCTGGAGCTCATGTTCAGCATGTTTAAGACCTCCATGTACGCAGGTGCCATCCCCAGATGGCTTCGGCCCCTCGTCCCCAAGCCCTGGCGAGAGTTCTGCAGATCGTGGGATGGACTCTTCAAATTCAGTAAGAGAAGCATCAAGGGCACCCGTGTCTAACCAGTTCGCTCTGCTCATCACGTGTTTAATGCTCACCTAGGCAGCAGGCGATGGGGCAGAGGGTGACTGAATGACTTAGGTGTTGCATTTGAACTCAGAAACTTCCATGTTTGCTTCTCAAATAAGCAAAAAGCATGTGGGTTGTTGCCACAAGTAACATGAGCTGTTCTTCACTTTTACATTACTTTTATTGCCAGAGGGTGCATGCATGGACCTGAAAGAGGGAGAAGGAGAAAGCACCCCTCCTGTGGGGCATGGTCACACCACAGCCCCGTTTCCATTTCTCCCTCTTTTCCAGATTTCAGGCACATGCTCACATGCCCAGCATGTTTTACAAGCTACTGGGGCTGAGATTCGAACCACGATTGGCCATGTGGGACCCAGCTCGCTGAACCACACAGCTATGGGCTGGCCTGTTAAATTACTTTTATTTTAACAAACTTGCTAGGGATGATGTTTTAATTGTATAAATATGTCCATGCTTGAAATGTGGATGGAGGTTCAGGCCTGTGCACATTCATTTGGACATTTTTTTTTTTAATTAAAAAAATTTTTTTCTTTGGAGAGGTTTTTGCTATAGGGTGCGTGTGCTCTCCAGAAAGGCAGAGAGAGACAGAGAAACAGAAAGCGAGAAATCACCCCCCGGGGGGATGGCCATATCGCAATCCCTTCTTCTCCATTCTCCTCTTAGGATCTTGGGCATGTACGCACAGGCTCCTGGTATGAGTTTAAGCCACCAGGTCCAGGACTTGAACTGCGGTCGACTACATGGGAGCCCAGCGACATAGCCATTATGCCAACTGCTGGTCCCCTTTTGAACATTCTTAATTGCAGCTTTTTCGTTCTTTCTTTTTCTTTTTCTTTTTTTTTTTTTTTTTTTCCAGAGTGGGCATGTGCTTGGCAGAGAGAGACATAGACAGAAAGAGGAGAAGGAGGAAGCACCCCAACGGGGCATGGTCACACTGTGATCCCTTCTCCTCCATTTTCCATCTGATCGAGACTTTGAGCTCACACGCGCACAGGCCCAGTGTGTTTTTCGAGGCACCATTGGGGCTGAGATTTGAGCTGTATAATTGGCCATGTAGGATCTGACTCACTTAACCACTAGGCCACAGGCCTGACCCCAAAATTCATTTGTTTCTTACTTGATGGAAGCAAACAGGGACAAACAATTTTATTCAAACTCAAAGTGAAACTACAAAGGAGATGAGTTTTCTTATGTGACTAGAAATCTTTACTGTGAAAGGATTCCAAAAGAAAAAATAATAATTTCCAAAATACTTAGAATACTGTATGAGAGCAGTGCTAACCCTGAGAGGATGTCTTGTGGTGTCTCTGAAGGTCAACGTTCATTCGAATGTGTAGGTTCTGATGTGTATGATATGATTGTGTTTCTTTTTGGTAACATTTCAGATACTAACATGTGAGTTTCCCTCGTCTTGATTAATTTTCTCTTCTGGAAGCACAGTGGGGAAAAAAAATCTGATTCTTGTTCCATTTTATAGGCGGAGTCTTCAAAAAATTAATGGAAACACAGTTCATGGAAAATGTGGACTATGTAAAACTATGTATAGATTTCACATTTTTTTTTGCACCAAAATAAATTGCAACTCTAATTCCATTTTGAAGTCCCCTCCTATAAATAGGTTCTGTGGCTACTGAATTAGTATAGCAAATGTTTGCCGATAACAGATTATTTTTTTAAATGGAAGAACTGTTTAGCTTGTCTGTAACTTTCCATTCATTCATACAAGCTAGTATGTGGCTGAAACTCCAAGTCGAAGCAGATTAATCTGGGTGCCTTTGCCTCTGTCACTGGCCACTGCTTCAGTAAAGTTAGTGGGAGGACAAAAAGGGAATCGAAATGGAAAAGATTATTCTCAACCCAAACTTTTTTCAAAAGAAATACTGTTTTCAAACAGGCCAAATTCATGTTGACAACAAGTTGAGGGACATACAGTGCCAGACGGACCGAGGCGAGAGGGTGAGAGGGGGACTCCTCACTTACCTCTTCCTTAGCCAGGCGCTGACGCGGGAGGAGATCTACGCCAATGTGACCGAGATGCTGCTGGCTGGCGTGGACACGGTGAGTGCAGTGCGCTGTGTTCTCAGTAAACCAAGCACGATACTCCTCGCTCGTACTCTGAGGACAGTGATCTGCTCTATTTCATTTTTAAATTTATTCATTTGCTCCATGACAGAGAGAGCGAGCGAGAGAAAGAGAGAGAGAGAGATAGCACACCCAACAGAGTCCTGATGCCACAATCTACCTGCAGCCCAGCCAGCTGCAGACCACGGGCATGCGTGTGCTTGCCATACTCAGGATCATTCCTAGACACAAACGAACGCTTTCCCCTGCCCACGTGGGTCAGCTCTGCAGAGTGTGGCACGTTTCCACTGTACCACTGTCAGCCCGACAAGCTATCTCCTCTTAAGGCAGACACTTTAAGGGTACTGTACATGACCGTTCCAGCTAAAGGCCTGCTTCTCTGCTTGAGGTCCTTAGAAAACCTTGACATCTGAAAGTGCACGGTGGAGTTTGTGAAAAGCATGAACACAGTTTTACTATCACACACATAAAGTAACAATGAGAGTTTTTTTTCTAAGTTTTTGCTATAGAGCACATATTCTTGCTAGAGTCAGAGAAAGAGAGAGAGAAAGTGAGAAAGCATCCCCGTGGGGAGATAACTATGCCACAATCCCTTCTCTTCCATTCTCCTCTCAGCATGTTGGGCAAGCAGGCACACACGCCCCTGACATGTCTCTCAAACCACCAGGTCCAGGACTTGAACCACATAGTCGGCTATGTGGGATTCAGCCACCTCAGCCACAATGCTACCAGCTAGCCCAAATTTCAAAATTTGCTATAGGACACGTGTGCTTGCAGAGAGACAGAAAGTGAGAATCGCCTTCCGGGGGAATGGCCACACCATGATCTTTCCTCTACCACTCTCCTGCTAGGATCTGGGGCACACACGCATATGGACCTGGCGAGAGTTCAAGCTGCTTGGTCTGGGACTCAAACTGTATAGTTGGCTATGTGGGATCTAGTCGCCCTCAACCTCCACACTCCCTGCTGGCCTATAAGTTTTAAAGTTTAAAATCACTCCAGGTCTGTAAATATTTTCCCCATGGTTTCATAGTCTCAGGCATAAAGAGGGTACAGACATTAAAAACCTTATTACTTACTATTTAAAACATTCCAGGCCCAGCTGCTGTGGCACACAGAGCCACTGATAGGGAATCTGGAAGCCCCATGGGAGGCCCCGGCTCAGTTCCTGAGCCAGCCAGATCGCCCTGGGCACAGTGGCACACATCTATGATTCTAGTAATTAGGAGGTTGGGGCAAGAGGGCCGTGTCATTGCCAGACTCTGTCAAAATACCTACTTGTGTGTCTTTCCCTTTCTTCTGTCTCTTTCTCTCTCATAAAGGGAAAGGGAGAAAAATTCCAGGTCAAAGGAACTTAACTTTTTAAATGTAAAACTGTTCTAAATGGCCTTAAGTGATTCAGTGAACAACATATTTATATCCTAAGCAAATAAAGCATGAAACATCATAACTTAAGGATGAACATTTAATGAATACATTTGTGGTCCAATTGTTAAAAATAAAATCCCAGGCCATGAGATTTATTTTATCAAGTCAGCAATTCATTTAATTTCATCTCCAGTTTATTTTATAAAACCAGCATAATTTTAAACCAATACTTGATAAAGTATAAAGAAGGAAAGCAAGCCTTAATAAGCAGGCTGGTTTATGCATACGTGTATATGTGTGTGTGTGTATTATCAATTTAAAATAAAATCCTAGTGAGCAGAACCCATTTGTGTAACAGATTAATAACAGAGTATGGCCCAGGAGGGTTCGCCATCAGAACGAAGTGGAGAACTGTCTGTAGACCTGGGGAACTCCCACCTGCTCTGGAGTAGAACCGCAGGGCGGATGAGTGTGGATGTCGTGTCCCCAGTAGTAAGATGGGCTGTGTCCTGTGCCTTTCTGTGAGTGCCTGGTGAACGTGGACAAGAATGTGCGGGTTTCTTTCTTTTTTTTTTTTTTTTTTTTAGTTTTTTTTTTTACAGGGTGCTTGTCCTCACTAGAGAGAGAGAGACAGAGAAGGAGAGTGAAAAATTACCCCCAAGAGGGATGGCCATGCAACAGTTCCTTCTCCTCCATTCTTCTCTCAGGACTTTGGGCACACACACACTCACTTGCCTGGTGTGATTGATTTTCAAGCTCTTGGGTCCAGGACTCACACCAGGAAATTTGCCATGTGAGATCCAGTGCCTTAACCTCCATGCCATCTTTTGGCCCCACACTAGGTTTTTTTTTTTTTTTTAAGTTTATTTTTTGAGAGAGAGAGAGAGAGAGAGAGAGAGAGAGAGAGAGAGAGAGAGAGAGAGAGAGAGAGAGAGAGAGAGAACCACTCCCAATGGGGTCTTCATGCTATGATCTGCCCCAGCAGCTACTGGCCCAGGTTGCGGGCACATGTGCGCATTCATTGTGCTCAGGGAGGGCCTGTAATGTGAACCCAGGGCCTTCTTACGTGTGTCCAGTTGTGCCACTGTCTGACTCTCCTTTAAAAGGAGAAAACAACTCCAGGGCTATTATTATTATTACAATGTTATTTAACCATGTAAAACAGAAAACAGTATGAATTCCTAATTCTTATTAATTTTATGCAACAATAAAACAAAAATTGTATAAATGCAAACTAAATGGCACAATCCATGAACATTTGATTTAAGTATGTGAACGTGATGGATGCTGTGTGGACAGTAATGGAAAGAACAGCCTTGGCTCCCAGCTGATTTGACATCCTGGTACCTCCTGCCCCCTGGTGGTAACTACGAGCACCACAACGAGGCAGAGTTCAAAAGGGACCATTCCCTTTTAGCCTCCTAGGAAGAAGCCAGGAGACAAAATCTTAGTTTGATAGTTATTTTAAAAAAAAAATAAACTTTTTTCAGTATTATGTAAACACAATAAACCGTATTCATTTAAACTGTGCAATTTGATTCAGATGATTGAAAGATGCAATCATTTGTGAAACCGTTACTGTATTTTTCTAAGTTTAGTAAAGGGAGTCATTCAGTATACAGTCTTTTGAATTTGGCTTCCTTTGTTCAGTGCTCAGCACGACTTTGGGATTCAATCACGTGGCAGCATGTAACAGCAATGTATTCTATTTTATTACTAAGTTGTATTTCATTGTATGAATGTTATCATGCTTTTCCACAACAATGTGGTTATAATAGAAATACTTTATACTCTTAATAGGAACGACCTAAATGGTCTCCTTACCATATATTGGGTTGTTGGAAAAGTCATTATGTATTTTTTTCTATGTAAAAATGCATCATGACTGGGGCTGGCAGGTGGTGTGATGGTTAAGGGTGTTGTACTCCCATGTGGCTGACCGCAGTTCGAGTCCTGGACCTGGTGGTTTGCTTTTCTCGTTTTCTCTCTCTTGCTGTCCCTCTGTGATCAAATTAAAATAAATTAAAAAAAATAAAGTTAAATAAAACATAATTCTTAAAAAAAATACATCATGACTTTTCCAACAACCCTGTACAAGGAAGAGCTTTCACATTACATTTTGTATTACATATGTTGTATCTTCAAAAAGTTCAGGGACCAGCAGTTAGCGTAATGGCTATGTCGCTGGACTCCCACTTAGTCGACTGCGGTTTGAGTCCTGGACCCGGCGGCTTAAACTCACGCCAGGTGCATGTGCATGTGTGCCTAAGATCCCGAGAGGAGAATGGAGGAGAAGAGATTGCGGTGTGGCCATCCCCCCTGGGGGGTGATTTCTCGCTTTCTGTCTCTCTGTCTCTCTCTGTCTTTCTGGCGAGCACAAGTGCCCTATAGCAAAAACCTCTCAAAAACAAAAAAATTCATGGAAAATACATATTATGAAAAAATTATGCATAGATTTAAAAATTGTTTTGTATCAAAATAAACTTATATTTTAATTCCATTTTCCATGAACCTTTTGAAGTCCCCTCTCATTAAACATGTTACATGTTCTATATTATAGGAGAGGCTGCTCTTTATAAATATATAATGCCTATTATTAGGAACTGATATCAAGAAGGCCTACTTAAGTTAGATTTTTCTTTGGTTAAGGAAAGGGCATTTGTACTGTGAAATTTCCTTATGTACAAAGAGTGACGTACAGTCTCATAGGTGATAGTATTGGTTTTAGTTAAAGTCTTTTTTTTTTCTTTTGCAAGTTTTTTTTTTTTTTTTTTTTTTTTTTTTTCTCTTGGGGGTGTTTCCTTCACAAAAAAAAAAAAAGTGCTTGCCAAAAAGACAGAAAGAGACAGAGAGACAGAAAGCGAGAAATCACTCCCAGGGGGGATGGTCACGCCGCAATCCCTTCTCCTCCATTCTCCTCTCAGGATCTTGGGCACGCACACGTGCCCCGTGTGAGTTTAAGCCATGGACTCGAACTGTGGTCGACTACATGGGAGTCCAGCAACATAACCATTACACCAACTGCTGGTCCCTTAGTGAAAATCTTGAGACCAAGGAGAATAAAATACAATTATTCTTAGTAACTAACAGTGTAATCCTTGGGCCTGGGAAGTGGCAAAACGAGCCATTTGATCACTCTGTGTGAACGTGATAAGTGTACGTGAGGCATTGTGCGCTCACAATCCTTTGAGTACTCATGGGTCTCTAGATTAGGGTGGCAGGGACAGGCCAAGCCCATTGTTGTGGGCCTGCAGGATGCCAGAGATCAACAGTTTTAGGGTCACTGGGCAACCTCAGGCACTTTCTAACAAAAACTAGGTGACCCCTGCAGAGGCCACGTGAATTCTAGGTAGCACTCTCAGGTTTGACCAGCATCCCCTGTCCCCTGTGTCCCTCAGGCTCCACTGAGCTCTGCTGTGCTTTTTCCTTAAAGTTATCCACTTATTTATTTCTTCCACAAGCAAGAGAGAGAGTAACAGAGAGAGAGACCGAAAGACAGTGCCCTAAATGGGGTCCTGATGCCACTATTCATCCCCAGCTTCAGCCCCCGGAACATGGGCACCGTGCGCCCAGCAGATAGACTGGACGTGAACTCACACTGTTCCCATGGGGTCAGTCTTGCAGACTATTTTATTTTTACCTGTGCCACTGTCTAGCCCGAAGTTTATTTCTTCTTCTTTTTTCTTTTTGTTCTTAAGTTATTATAAAAAGTCCAAAATGCTTTCTCCTATGGCTTTTCAACTCAAAAGCACTTGAATCAGAGTCGGTGTTATTTTTCAAAAACATTTGTTTGATTAATCTGGCATGAATTTAGAGGAATCTTTCAGGAAGTCATGCAGGTTAGGGTAGGACTGTGATTTCACACTGACGCTTGTTACAAGGGCCTTCTGTCTTTCTCTACCTGCTGTTCAGATCCTCGGTCCTCCTCTCCATGCACTGCATCGGTGTCTTCTCTTCCAGACATCCTTCACTTTGTCCTGGGCTGTGTATCTCCTGGCAAGGCACCCGGAAGTGCAACAGACGGTGTACCGGGAGATAGTGAGGAACCTCGGGGTGAGGCACGTGCCTACTGCAGCAGACGTCCCCAAAGTCCCACTGGTCAGAGCGCTCCTTAAGGAAACCCTGAGGTAAAAGCTCAGCAAATGCTTGTCAACAGGAAGTGTCCATTCTTTCTTTCTTTTTAACATTTATTTATTCATCTATTTATGTGTTGTGATTTTTGGGCCACTGGGTTCAGGAATTGAACCATGATTAGCTATGTGGGAGTCCAGTGTCTCAACCACCATGCCACTTGTTGGCTCCAAAAGATGTCCTTTTAGAATTTGCTTTAAAAAAATTTTTTTTTTTTTTAATATACAGTGATTTTTGCTATAAGGCGCATGTGCTCACTGGAGAGACAGAGACAGACAGAAAGCAAAAAATCATCCCCCAGGAGGGATGACCACACCACAATTCCTTCTCTTCCATTCTCTTCTTGGGATCTTGGGCACTCATGTGCACCCACCCAGCGTGAGTTTTAAGCCAGAACCAGGACTCAAACCACAGTCAACTATGTGGGAGTCCAGTGACGTAACCATTACACCATATGCTGGTCCTCTCCCCCCTTTTTTTTATAGTTGCCAGAGAGCACATATGTTTGCCAAATAGAGACAGAGCGAGAGGAGAAGGCATCCTCCAATAGGACATGGTCACTCCACAATCCCTTCTCCTCCATTTCTTCTTACCAGGATTTGGGCCAGGCACACACACATGCCCAGCATGTCTTCCAAGCTGCTGGGGCAGGATTTGAACTTTGGTCAGCCATGTGGTATCTGGCTTCATCAACTGCCATGGTACAGGCCAGCCCCAGTCTCTGATTCTTTTTAAACATTTTGATTTTCTTTTAGTTAAAAGGCACGTGTGCTTTCCAAAGAGAGACAGAGAGACACAGAGAAAGGGAAAGCAAGAAAGCACACCCCCATGGGGCATGGTCTTGCCACAATCCCTTCTCCTCCATGTCTCCCTCTTTTCTTTGGAGAGGTTTTTGCTATATGGCGCGTGCACTCGCCAGAAAGACAGAGAGAGACAGAAAGACAGAAAGCAAAAAATCACCCTCCGGGGGATAGCCATACCACAATCCCTTCTCCTCCATTCTCCTCTTGGGATCTTGGGCATGCACACACATGCGCTCAGCATGAGTTTAAAGCCACTGGGTCCGGGACTCGAACTGCGGTCAACTACATGGGAGTCCAGCGACATATCCATTACGCCAACTGCTGGTCCCCATGTCTCCCTCTTTTCAGGATACTGGGCATGCACATGCATGTGCCTGGTGTGCTTCTCAAGGCGCTGGGGCAGGATTAGAAAGACACATTCCTCCATGTGCAATCTATTTGCCTTCACCACCAGACCATGGAGCCAGCCCTCATCTCCTCATCATAACATCCTCCAACGACCTTCAGTGGCCGAAATGTCTAGGAAGATGATACACTTCTTTATTTCCTTTCCACTTTTGTCAGAATTGCACAGAAGAGATTCTGTTTTACGGGTTGTATAGTCATTGTTCTTCATAAAGATCTCTGGAGCAGTGATTAAACATGGGCTTTGCTTCAGAAGTTTTCCCCAATATGTTCTCAGACAAATACCCTTTGACTTTATTCTTCTGAATATAAAGTGCAGCAAGATTGATTTGTCAGGAAAGTACTTTGGGCTGTTTGCTGGTTACCAGACCCACTTGCAAAGTGCTGTGTGCTTGTGTGCATATCCTAGTCTGAGTCGGAGACGCCACAGAGTGAGGCTCATTTACTCCCAGATCGGGCTTTCCTGATCATCAGGACAGCTGGATCGGAGAGACATGGCTTGTCTAGGCTGGTAGGTGGTACTAGGTGCTCAGTAAAGTTCTTTCCCCTTCTGCAGTGTGGGACCCTAAACATGGCGTCCCTCCACATTCCTTGGAGGAGCCATCATGGCCGATGGCAAAGATTATTATATTTCCATGGTATATATCAAAAGGATTCTTTGAAACCTGATTCGATAATGATACTTCAGTTTTTATTATATTTTCAGTCTACAGCTTGTGGTTTAGTTTTAAAAAAAGAGAGAAAGGAAAACGAGCTGGCTGTGTGATGTACCGGTGTTTGTCCATTCAAGTTTTATTCAGAGTTTTCTTAGGGTGAGGTCTCTGAGGTAACCAGTTCCTGGAGTGTCATCTCTCAGAATGTATTTCATGGGCCCCAAGTCCTATGAGTTATTTTTTGTTAAAATGGTCCCTTGGTCATGTAAAGTATCAGAAACTCAGAATTTTCCCTCTTGGGAACACAGTAGCATGTCAAAGACATAGCTTTGTGTCTTTTTTTTTGAGAGTTTTTTGCTATAGGGCGCGTGCGCTCGCCAGACAGACAGAGAGAGACAGAGAGATAGAAAGCGAGAAATTACTCCCTGGGGGGGATGGCCACGCTGCAATCCCTTCTCCTCTCGGGATCTTGGGCACGCACGCGCACGTGCCTGGCGTGAGTTTAAGCCACCAGGCCCAGGACTCAAACCACGGTCAAATACATGGGAGTCCAGCGACATAGCCATTATGCTAACTGCTGGTCCCCATAGTTTTGTATCTTGTGGACTTTTCTGACATGGCATTTTTTTTCACAGTTCTTGGAATTTTCCTTGGCAGAGCTTTCTGAGGAGCCTCAAAGGTCCTTGCAGACTTCAGTACCTGAAACTGTACTGTGTGTTACTTTTTAGAATTTTTTTAAGAATTATTTTACTTGGGAACCAGTAGTTAGCGTAATGGCTATGTCGCTGGACTCCCACGTAGTCGACCACGGTTTGCGTCCCGGACCCAGTGGCTTAACAATCACGTTCAGAATGTATTTCATGGGCCCCAAGTCCTATGAGTTATTTTTTGTTAAAATGGTCCCTTGGTCATGTAAAGTATCAGAAACTCAGAATTTTCCCTCTTGGGAACACAGTAGCATGTCAAAGACATAGCTTTGTGTCTTTTTTTTTGAGAGTTTTTTGCTATAGGGCACGTGCGCTCGCCAGACAGACAGAGAGAGACAGAGAGATAGAAAGCGAGAAATTACTCCCTGGGGGGGATGGCCACGCTGCAATCCCTTCTCCTCTCGGGATCTTGGGCACGCACGCGCACGTGCCTGGCGTGAGTTTAAGCCACCAGGCCCAGGACTCAAACCACGGTCAAATACATGGGAGTCCAGCGACATAGCCATTATGCTAACTGCTGGTCCCCATAGTTTTGTATCTTGTGGACTTTTCTGACATGGCATTTTTTTTCACAGTTCTTGGAATTTTCCTTGGCAGAGCTTTCTGAGGAGCCTCAAAGGTCCTTGCAGACTTCAGTACCTGAAACTGTACTGTGTGTTACTTTTTAGAATTTTTTTAAGAATTATTTTACTTGGGAACCAGTAGTTAGCGTAATGGCTATGTCGCTGGACTCCCACGTAGTCGACCACGGTTTGCGTCCCGGACCCAGTGGCTTAAAACTCACGCCGGGCACGTGTGCATGCGTGCCCAAGATCCCGAGAGGAGAATGGAGGAGAAGGGATTGCGGCATGACCATCCCCCCGGGGGGTGATTTCTCGCTTTCTGTCTCTCTGTCTCTCTCTGTCTGTCTGGCAAGCGCACACACCCTATAGCGAAAACCTCTCTCTCTCAAAAAAAAAAGAATTATTTTACTTTAACTTTATCTATTTAGTTATTTTAATTTGATCAGAGAGGGACAGAGCAAGAGAGAGAAGGAAAATGAGAAAGGAAGCTATCAGGTCTTGGACTCGAACTGTGGTCGGCCATGTGAGAGTCCAGTGCCCTTAACCACTACGCCACCTGCCAGCCCCACTTTTTAGAATTTTTAATGAAAGTGGTGATACAAGGCAGGGGAAGAGGGTTCTTCAAAAAGTTCATGGACAACACATATTATGAAATAACTACAGATTTTCAAAAACTTTTTTTGCACCAAAATGAGCTTGTACTTCCATTTCACTTTTCAACAAACTTTTGAAGTCCCCACGTATATCCACATTTTGAAATGTTTCATAAAATGTTCTAAAGTTACCACTCCACTCCTGTTCCGGATGTCTCCCCTTCCAGGCTCTTTCCAGTGCTACCAGGGAACGGCAGGGTCACCCAAGAAGATCTGGTGATTGGCGGGTATCTGATTCCCAAAGGCGTGAGTTTGGCGGCCAGGGGGCAGAACCGGGCTGTGTGGTATGGCTGGGTTGAAAGTCTGCCTCTACCTTCAGGAAGGCTTTGTCCTTAAGTGGAGATCGCAGGCTTCCTTTCCTTCCTTCCTTCCTTTCCTCTGCCTGTCTTTCAGGAGGGAGACGGGTCTTTAGGAGAAAGGTGAAGTGGTGACCTTGCTGCTCTGGAAACTCACAGCTCAACAACAGAGCGCGTCTTGCTGGGGCCCTCAGCCCTGTTCCCTCTCTCCTCCCCAGGCCCTGTGGAGGCAGTAGCTTCCCTCCCAGAGTTTCTGGAGGACCTGAATTGCTTTCTTCTACTGCACTGCCATGTGGGTGCAGTATGATGTATGAAGGAAGGAGCTGCCTTCCCGGGTCAGTGGGACCCCCCAAGTGGCCCCTGTCGCCAGGAGCGTCCCTGGAGAGTCTGTGCATGGGGCCCTGCCTCTGCTCTGTCTGTCCCATGACCCCATTCTTTATTTCTTTTCTGTTATGGTGGCTTCCTCAGACCCAGCTAGCCCTCTGCCATTATGCCACATCCTATGAAGATGAGAACTTCCCTCGCGCCAAGGAGTTCCGCCCGGAGCGCTGGCTGCGGAAAGGAAACCTGGACAGAGTTGACAATTTTGGGTCCATCCCCTTTGGATATGGGGTTCGCAGCTGCATCGGGCGGAGAATCGCAGAACTGGAGATTCACCTCGTCGTCATCCAGGTAGGGCCAGACCAGGGGTTAGCCTTGGGGTGGTCGCCTTCACTGGGCTCAACTGGATGGAGACTTAGTTAAAAAAGAAAATGTCACTCTGAAAACTTGGCAAGGGCTTTGCATTAATCCCTTTTATAGAAGGATCTTTAGAAAGTTCATGGAACATACATTTTAGGAAAAACCACGTGCATACGTTTAAAATTAATTCCACTTATTTTGTACCAAAATTAACTGATATTTTAATTTCAGTTTTCCATGAACTTTTGGAAGTCCTCTTGTGTTTTAAAATGCTGCCCTCAACTGTAGCCATCTTCTTTTTAAGAAAATTTTTAGAAGTATTTTATTTAGCTTTACTTATTTATTCACTTATTTTAATTTGACCAGAGAGGGACAGAGCAAGAGGGAAAGCGAGAAGGAAAGTGAGAAGCAAGCTGCCAGGTTTGGGACTTGAACTGTGGTCGACCATGTGGGAATCCAGCACCTTTAACCACCACACCGCCTGCCGGCCCCAGCACTAGCCATCTTTAACCCCATGGCTACCTGCCTTGTTTCTTTCCTCCTTGGGATCGTGAAGGCAGCAGGTTGGGATGCCTAGAGAACAGGGCAGAGTGCATGTCCTTGGGCAGGGGCAACTGGGGACCCAGAGCTGAGCTCTTTTGCCATCAAATGGGGAGTTCCGGAGGGAGGCCAGTGTGTGTGTGTGGGGGGTGATCCTTCAACATTAGGGAGCATAAAAGCCACCAGGGAGCCCATAAGTGCAGACTCAGGCCCCAGCCACAGACATCATAATCAGGCAGGTCCAGCGTAGGGCAGAGGCCACATTCCAAGACGCCCTGGAGGTCGAAGGAGGTGGACATGCTGGGGCTGGAGCGCCCGCCTCTGCAGTCATGTCTGCATCTAGTCGCCAGTCTCTCTGCATCCCAGTGACCGCCAGGGGCTAGCCCACGTGATCTGGCTCTAGTTGGCTGTTTGCAGGGAGCACTGGTTCTCTAGCTGTTCAGGACGTGAAACATTGGCACGTCTTAGGTTTTATAGAGAATGACGTACATGTTACTCTTCGGATGTTAGAATAGATAACTGGGTTTGTGCAGTGTCTGAGTTCAGCAGCAGCAGAACAAAGTAACACCTGAAGGACATTTTATAAAAGAAAAGCCTGTAGCAGAGCAAAGTCGCCCCGTCAGTCTTGCAAGTTCAGGAAGGAAGACAACCCTTCTACTATTTGAGCGATGGGAAACCCTGGCTCAAGGTTTGGGAACAGCTGCCATGGACTCTGAGTGTGCAAAGATGTGGGCTAGCCTGGTAGAATTACCTGGTGGGTGACTCAGTCTCCCTGTTTGACTAAAGAGGAGACTGAGGTGGAGGAAGTGGGAGCCAAGTACCAAGTCATGCACCCTGGAATTTTGCCACTTCCTGCATTTCCTCATGTCACTCAGGGTCTTCCTTCAGGCTCACAGAGAAGTCCCAGCCCCCAGGGCCAGGTCCTTTGGGGAAGTGACCTAAGGGAGTGTAGGGACCAGAGAAACCTAGCAGGCTGGGAGAAGGGGAGAGGGGTTCTGGATGGGCAGGCCTGGGGAAGTGATGGGGACATGGCAGGAGGGGGAGGATGGGAGAGCCCCCACTGGCCCAGGGCTGGCTTTAGCGGAGTCACAGATAGAAGGGCAGCTGGGCGGGGCTGGCAGATCAAGCAGCCATAGCACCTGGTCGTGATGTGAGTGGCTGAGTGGGGGCTGCCCCAGTGCAGCTGTTCCTGGGGACGGTGGATCATTTGGCCCCTGGGCCAGGCCTAGCAGGGTCTCATGTGAGCAGTAGCTTGGTGTGGCATGGGGGGTACTCAGGATAAGCCCCAGCTCTGGTCCAGCTCTGTGTTCTGCTGCTTTGGGACCTTGGGCAGGCCCCTCAACCACTCTGAGCCTGTCACCTCATCCACAAAAGGGCAGATCTCTCCTTAGATGTGTGGGGAGAGTCTGTGCCTGGGAAGTGGAAGCTATTACTGTTCCCTGGATCCATGCTCAGTGACTGCCATGAGAGTGTTTTTAGGAAGGTCTTAGATTCCTAAAGTGCCACTGTACTTTCTACAGCCACATCTGGGACAGGCAGAGAAACTTTCTGTCCAGAACCCTTGTCACTTCCTGGCCTCTGCCAACCTGAAGGATCAGGGCAGACCTCTGCCAAGCAAGAGTGGGTTAGACAAGGGGTACTGGGGGTGGAAATGGGGCTTTGTTTATTTTCTGCTGTAAATATACAAATACACCTGCTAAAGTTTTGTTTAAGGAGTCCTCATTTCTACTTAAAGAAAGAAAGCATTATTATTTGTAATCACCAAAGGAAAAAGAGAAGGCATAGATGAACAGTGCCAGGAACAGGCAGGGAGACACCAGTACAGATGCAGAGGACAGGTTTATTTATTTATTTTTTATTTTTTGAGAGGCTTTTGCTATAGGGCATATATGCGCTCACTAGAAAGACAGAGAGACAGAAAGAGAGAAGTCTCCCCCCCAAGAGGGGGGTGGTCACTCTGCAATCCCTTCTCCTCCATCTCCTCTTGGGATATTGGACATGCACGCACATGTGACCAGCATGAGTTTAAGCCACTGGGTCTAGTACTCGAACCACGGTCGACTACATGGGAGTCCAGCAACATAGCCATTACACCAAATGCTGGTCCTGAGGATAGGTTTTTAAACTCAAGAAATGACCACAAACAACTTTTTGCCAATACATTCAAAGACTTAGAGAAAACATACAATTCATTAAGGAAAAAAATACAGTGTAAATTACCCACATTGACACAAAGAAGAGAGAGTAGACCTAAGAAACTGAACCAGCCAGTGAGAATAGACCTAAAATATAAGTCAATGGTAAAAAGATCTACCCTCAAAATATTCTGGACTTAGACAGTTCTATTGGCTAGTTTTAGCAAATATTTAATGAAATCAAGTAGAGAATGGAAAGAATGTTTCTTTTTATGAGACTTGCATAGCCTAAAGATTCAAACCTAAGAAGGCTAATATGAAAAAGGGGCACTACAGGCCAACCCAATTTATTAACCAAGATAAAAAAAAAATATCCAAAATGAAAAACTGGCTGGCTGAATCCAGTAGTGTATAAGACAGACATGCCTTTCCATCTAACCAGGTATGTTCAAAGATGATCCTCTATGAGAAAAATCTGTCGATATAATCCTTTACAATAACAAATGAAGAAGAAAAATTATATGACTATCCTGAAAGATAATTGATAAAAGCCAACACTCGTTCATGAAGAAGATCTTTTAGCACACCAGCAACAGAGAGGCCTTCCTTAACCAGATGAATGGTACCTGTTCCGATAACATCACCAGGGCCCTGTAGGCTACTGCAAGGGAAGTGACAACCTTAATGGTGCCATGGTAACCACGTCCCCTTAAAACCAGGGACAAAGGGGCCAGCTCTGTGGCCTGGTGGTTAAGGCAGCTAGATCCCATATGGCCAACTCCAGTGACCAGCAGCTTTAGAGTCACGCCGGTCACATGCGTGAGTCTGTCCAAAATCCTGAAAAGAGGAAGAGATGGAGAAGGGATTTGGGCGTGACCATGCCCCATGGGGGGTTGCTTTCTCCTCTCCCTCTCTCTTTCTCTGTCTCTAGTGAGTGTGCATGTTCTCTGACAAAAATTTTTTTTAAAAATTGGGGATAAGGTATTTGTATTATCTGGAAGAACATTCAGATGATATACCCAGTTCCTTGGAAGTTGGAGACTTGAGGTGGGAGAGAAAGCTTTTTGGTTGGTTGGTTGGTTTTTATGTCTTCTGTGTGGTCTTACTTTTCTCAGTGAGCATTTTCCCTCTCCATTCAGAAAGAGAAAAAGACTGGGTGGCCTTGAAGTTCAGAGGCCTACGTGCCAGTTCTCTTCATGCCGCATGGGCACGAGCGAGTCATTCTGTGGGTCAGAGTCGTAGGTCAGAGGTTAGATGTTTAGATGGAGCCACCTGAAGACAGGCCATTACACGTCCCCATTGCAGCCTGTGCCTGCTTGACTCCTTCCTGGAGCTGCAGCCCACCCTGAGGTCCCATCAGTGGGTCTTTCTTCTCTGCCCGGCAGAAGAGGCTGGGAAGATGAACGTAGGGGTGGGGATGGGCTGGGTCCATAGATGGGGTTGTCAGTAGGTTATTTGCCACCTACACTGCCTAAATGGTAGCAAATTAGCGCCTCCCTCCCCTCCTGGAACCTATGCTTTGACGCAAGTCTTTCCAGGGGTTGCCTTTTGTTCCTGACCGGGGATGACTTGGAACAAAAGGTCGTGGCCAGTCGGTGAGGCAGACTGTCTCATGAGGGTGGTGGGTACCTTGGTGCTCTTTAAAGCTCACTGTGGAGCTTTTACTTTCCAGTAGTACCCTGGGAGGCAGGGCTGGTTCTCCATTTCAATAGCAGAAATGAGAAACAGAATCAAAGGTACAAATCGAGAACACTTACATCAGCAGGACAGCGATGGTCGAAGTCTGTCATTGCTTCACCCCCTCCCCCAAGCTCCCCCACTGCTGTGTCCACATCGTCCCAAGGGCTGCAGTCATCGTGTCCCTCGTTTGTCCTGGCTCCTTTGATGCCTTCTTTATCCTGACCTAAAACGGGAGCAGTCAAGGCAGACTTTTGAAACGGCCAATAAAAACCTCGGCCATTTGAGTGTTCTGCCTGCAGTTGCTTAGTGGCCACGCCAGGCTTCTGTACAAGATCTAAAGCTCTGTGTCCAGATGGCTGGCACCCCCCTGACCACGCGGCGCAGCGTCCTCCAGCCTGGATGAGCAGGCTTTCATTGCCTTGGCTCCCTGTAGCCACTGCCGCAGTGGGCAGAAGCGTTCAGGGAGCCCTGGGAAGTGTCTGCTGCCCCTGTTTTGAATCCTTCTCTCTCTTTCTCTCTTAGTTGCTTCAACATTTTGAGATCAAAACATCCTCTCAGACTAAAGCTGTTCATGCGAAGACCCACGGGCTTCTGGCACCAGGAGAGCCCATCCATGTGCGTTTCGTTAACAGAAAGTAAAGCCTGGTCTTGGACCCCAGCCGCTGTGGCAGAGCCAGCTCACCAGCGCACGCGGGTGTGGTTGCGTGGCACTGGTCGCTGTAGAGGAGGAAAGTGATCCTTCTGGACGGCTGTGTTTGAGCCTGGCCCCCCAAGGTCTGGCAGACTTGAAACTCTCGTGCACAGTGATGTAAAAGGAATGCCATTTTACCTTTGAGTACCAGAGTTTCAGTTCCTTTGGGGAAGCAGCTGTGTAAATCATCAGTGGCCTTAAATCCTCACGCCTCACCCATTGGGCTATATTTGATATTTGATGACTAGCTGTCCTATGCATTTGTGCAAGGAAAAGGCAGTTTACGTACCGATTCAGTTCTTGAATATGTTCTCTGACACGGGCATCGAGGCTGCATGTTGGGAGGCAGTTTCAACTTACTGTCTCTAATCTGAAGAGGGAGCATTAAGACGCCTCTGTAATACTGTAATTATGAGAAGAAAACACCAGGGACAACATTTTACCTTGAACACCAGATTTAGAGCCTATGGAGAGTTCAAAATGGAAAAGGTCCTGTTCTTCTTTTTCTCTCCAAACTAGGGCTTACTTTCCAAGTTGCAGCTCCCTCTGAAGTTGAACACTAGTTTTTATTTGCAAGAAAATAATCAGGAAAAAATAAAGCTGCTGGTGAAATCAAGAATCATCTGATTTTTCTGAGCACATCTAAATAGCAGGGAGATGTTTAAGAACTGGAAAGAGAGCCACGTAAACTCTCGTTGCCTGAGTTGACAGAAACGAATTCAGCAAGCACGGTGGAAAACAGTGTAACTTTAGAACGTTTTTATTTCAAGGAAAAGTAAATCTATAAACAGAAACCCTGTGGGTAGAATACAGTTTTATCCTCACAATGTTATTTTAAGTATCCAAACTGGAAATGTGATCCAGCTGTTGGTGTCACTCAAGACTCCAAAGGAAAGCCTGGGCTCCCAGGGGCTTCAGTCCCGCTAAGTCGTGCTGCCTCTCCTGCTGCCCCCTGGTGGCGAGGAGGACCATTTTTATAATGTTCTCTACTTGCCACCATGTCCGAAGCATCTTATTCCCAAGTCCATGCATCTTTTTACATATTTTTTTAAAAATCACTTTCCTACTAATATATACTATAAATCTTGCTTTCTCTTTAGTAAGTCAGCAAAAATAACCCTTAAATAAAATAGAATATCCATCTCATATACCATTTTTGTTAAGTCTATAGCAATGTTGACATCTCTGTGTGATGACAGAATAACCCTAGCATAAATGCTATAAAAATATGTTCAATTAGATATAAAATTATGTCAAAATAACCAGCTAAGTATTGGAGACTTTGAGGTAGCAGCATATATATTAACTTGTATAAACTAGGTGAAATTGTATTCTGTTTGAGGCTGAAATTAAAAAAATATTGAGACTAACTAAGCAACTTGAAGTGACTGCTTATTCCCCGTGCATACAGTGTGGCCCTGCCCAGGGATCAGCAAACACAGCTGAAGATGAAGTGCAGGTTGAGGGAGTAACACACCTGTGCCTGCTGCTCAATCTCAATATATAAAAGGAGAGACAGCCAGGGCCTGCCCTGTGGTCTAGTGATTAAGGAAGCCAGATCCCACATGGCTGACTGAGTGGCTTGAATCCCAGCCCTGTTAGTTGAAAAACACTTTAGGCATGTGGGCATGTGGGTCCCAGATCCTGGCAAGATGGAAAAATAGAGGAGAAAGGACTGTGGTGTGACCACACCCATTGAGGGGTGCTTTGTCCCTCTGTCTCTGTCTCTCTGGTAAGCACACATACCCTCCCACCCCCCGCCTCGCCAGGAGATGCATCAGGAAGGGTAGGGCACCACCTATGAAGTGTCTCAGCTAAAGACATAGAAATTGAATTGGAGAAGTCTCTAGATACACTGCTGGTTTATAGGAAATACAGGGTATTGAGAGGGGCACTCTACACAACTCCATGGGGAGGGGAAGCAGGTGGAGTGGTGGCTGAGGGTGCTGGACTCCCACAAGGCCGGCTGTGGTTTGAATCCCAGACTTGTGGCTTACTTTCTCACTTTCCCTCCCTCTCTCTCTTTCTCTGGTCAAATTAAAAATAATAAAATAAATAAATATTTTTTAAAAAAAGAACCTCCATGGGGATGCTATCAGCAAAATCTAGAATATAACTTGGGTTTTTTCAATAAACAAGTAAAAAGAAAATGCATATGTGCGCACACACACACACACACACACACACACACACACAGGAGAGAAGTGGGAACTGTTAGAGATGAGAAATTGATGAAACATAGCAACCAATGCTGAACTTAAACTGAATTAGAGCAGTAACCCATTAATCTACTTGTCAAATAATAATGGACAATTAAGTAAGTCTTTCAATACTTGGGGAAATTTGAACAGTGATTGGGCATGTATTTGATGATATTAAGTGTTATTTTTTATCTCTTAAAGAGATATGAAAAGATATAACTGTTGGGACCAGCAGATGGTATAATGGTTACATTGCTACACTCCCATGTAGTCGACTGTGGTTCAAGTCTCAGACCCGGTAGCTTAAATTCACACCAGGCACATGTGCATATAGACCCAAAATCTCAAGAAGAGAAGGGTTTCAGTATAGCCATCCCCCTGGGGGATGATTTCTCCCTATAGGGAGTGATCTCTTGCTTTCTGTCTCTCTGTCTCTGTCTTTTTGGCAAGTGCATGAGCTCTATAGCAAATATCTCTCTCTTAAAAAAAAGATGAAAATGTTTGTGGATGAAGTGTTATGGTTTTTTTGGGTTGGCTTTAAAATCCCCTAGCTTGTGGTGGGGGTGGGTAGTATGTGTTTGGCAAGAGGGAGCTGAGGAGGAAGAGATGAACCAAGCTTGGGCCAATGTTGCCAGTTGTTGAAGCTGGGCAGTGGGTGTGGAGGGCTCAGACAGTCCTCTCTGCTTTGTGTACATGTGAATGTTTCCATGATAAAAAGTGTCTTCAGAAACGAGGGATTGGGATCAATAATCTCATAGTTCAGGGGTTTTTCATTACTGTTCACAAACCAGCGAAACATGATGAATTAGGTTCTGCAGAAAGCTCTATCTTCCTTCTCAGGAGCTGCTGGAAATGACTGAAGCAGTGCACCAAGATGCAAGTGTGCTAGGATCTGGGTGGCCTGCCAGGGCTTAGCCAGCCTTGCAGCTCAGAGACAAGGCAGAGGACACACCCAAGATAGCAGGACGAAAGGAGATAGAAGACCAGGCCCTAGAAGCTAGCAGGAGAGTTAAGCCGCTCAGACCCCTGGATGTGAGATAACAGGGGGTGGTGGAGCCTGTGGAGGACACTGCCTGTTAGAAGGTTTTCAAACTCCATTTTTAAAAATGTGCTGGTCAGAGCAACATGTTGTATGTTGGTTAAGGCAGCTGGAGCCCACATGGTCGACTCTGTGGTTCCAGAAAATCCCAAGAGGAAAATGAAGGAAAAGGGATTGTAGTGTGGCCATCTCCCCTGGGGGGGGGGGGGTTCTCACTCACCCCAGGGAGTGCATGCACCCTACAGCAAAAATGTTTAAAGAAAAAAAAAGTGCTAGTGAAATAAAAGGTTTCAGCCACTGGCCCTGTCTGAGAGACTGGCCAAGGGCCATCAGTGAGGCACAGGCCACAAAGGCCAGTCTGGGCCCAGCATGGGAAAATGCTTACCGCGATGCTACCCTCAGGACCAAGGTGGGCATGCCGTCAGGATCGTGGGGGACAAGCAACGGAGGCCGACAGGATGGCAGAGGGATCCTGGGTCATTCATCAAACTGAAAGAGTTGAGGAATCACCAGGAAGGGCTGTCCCAGGACCTCGGCGGGATCTTTGGGCAACCCCAGCTCCAGGCTCCTATTTTCACCCAGTATGCAATTGACTTGGCCTGTGATTGACAGGTGCTCTGACCAAAAAGAGGGGGAGACCTGCTGGGCTGACCAATCACAGGTGTCCACTGGGCCGGCATCACTGGTCGCTGGGCAGAGTGCATGGGACGCAGTCTGCAAATAACGCCCTTTCCCACGCTGCCCGTATAGGTCTGTTTGTGGTAGTTGGTAAGCAACAGAGCCGGTCCTTCCCTATTGCAGGTGAGATCTCCCACAGTTTCTAGTACATCTTAGGTCACGCATAAAAAAGAAGTTCTCCAGTGACGTTTAGCCGCCATCACACTCTCACTTGATGAAAATATTCTGTCCAGTGTAAATAAAAAGCCTCACAATTTCACTTGAAGCCAGGCATCTCCCCTCCTTCAGCTCAGGCGTTGAGGGAGAAGCCTTCGGAGGGGTGTGGCTGGCTTCCTCATTCCTGCCTGTCCCCTCCTCCCCACCCACCACAGGACCTCTGGCTCTGGTTTGGAGCTGCGAGAGCAAGGTGTGGAGTGGGGAGGAGCCCTCTGACTGATGCTGTGTGGTTCTGGCATGAGTCTCTGGCTCTGGGCACAGATGTAAAGTTGTTTTTTTTCCCCCCGTTGGGTTTTTTTCCTCAGCAGGGAGTCTCCAGTGAAATGTCCCAAGAAACAGTTTCCTAAACAGGCATCTTCTCTGGTGGCTTCTCCTCAGCCCTGGGCACCAGGGTCCTCTTCTTCTGTCTGGGTCCCAGGCCCCTCCAAGCTTTCCTCTTGGGCAGAACTTAAAACTTTCCCACCTGAGTCCCCATGTGCCTCCCTGTCCCCATAGTGAGCTGCATCCAGGTTCTGGGTGGGCTCCTTCAGGTGAGGTCAGCACCAGCCTCTGTATCCCTCAAGCTCCAGGCAACTGCGCTCTGCTTCCTCCCTTTCTCTTTTAAAATTTATTCATTTATTTCTTCAGAGAGAGAGAGAGAAGCACCCCTACAGGCTCTGACAGTAATCCTCTCCCTCTTAGGCAGCTGGGATCATGGGCACACTCATACCTGGCATGAACAGGGAGGCCTCTAGTCATGAACCTTGCACCTTCACTTATGGTCCAGTTGTTACTCCTGAGATACCATCTACTCCTTAGGCTTCCTCTCTGAGTAGCCGGGCAGAACTGAGGGGGTGGGTTGGGGAGGCAGCTGCATGCCTGCTGCATGCCTGGCTGCTGCTGTCCAGCATGTGCCTGTCTCATCCTGGGTGTTGACTCTGGCCAGCGCCATGAGGCTCCCTTGGGGGCTGTCAATGGAGAACTACAAAGCCAGGCCCCAGCTCTGAGGGGAAGAGCATCAGGACGCCAGCTTGGGCCTCTGTCTCGTCTCAGCTGAGGCCACAAAGGCTGTGGGTGAATAAACAGTGGGTAGCAGGTACCCCACATTCTCTCTTCCTCACTCTGTTTCTTCAATTTTAACTCTTTAGTATTTTACTATATTGATATAGCACGATCTACCCAACTATATTCTCAGAAGACTTCCACTAGTACTTTATTTTAACTATTTTTTTGTTATACTTATATTGAGAAAAATTTCAAACAAATACAATACAATAATGAACCCCCATGTATCCAACCCCCCAATTTTTTTTTTTTTGGAGAGATTTTCACTGTAGGGCGTGTGTGCTCGCCAGACAGACACAGAGAGACATAGAGACAGAAAGCGAGAAATCACCCCCCAGGGGGGATGGTCACGCCACAATCCCTTCTCCTCCATTCTCCTCTTGGGATCTTGGGCACGCATGCACACACGCCCTGCGTGAGTTTTAAGCCACCGGGTCCGGGACACGAACCGCGGTCGACTACGTGGGAGTCCAGCGACATAGCCATTACGCTAACTGCTGGTTCCCAACCCCCAAATTTTTATCAACTTGTGGCCAATCTAGTTTCACCTATATCCCCACGGCTGGATTATTTTGAAGCAAACAGGGCACAAATGATCATTTTCCCTATAAGTACTTCGGTATATATTTCTAAAGCATGCATTTTTTTTTTGAAAAAAAAGAAACTATAATACACCTATAAATGTAACAAGGTTGTGCTATTATTATCAAATTAACTATTTTAAATGTTTCTTTCATGAGAGAGATAAAGAGAGAAACAGGTACTCTCAACAGGGTCTCATCATTCTGTAACACCCTCATCCCCTCCTCAGCCTTCTAGCCAGCCAGCGATGCTGGGTATCCAGTGTGTTCAGTCAGCCCAGGACCCAAACCCCAAGTCTTCCCACGTGGCTCCGTCATTGCACAACAGCACTCTACTGCCTGCACCACTGAAGTTGGGTCCAAATTTTCAGTTATTTCATAAGTATACATTTTCCTGTAATTTAAATAAGATCGATTCATTGAGATGGACTGATTTGTCTCTTAATGTATATTTTAGGGCTTTGTCCCTCTTTGTTTTCAAAATATTTTCTTGTAATATATCTTTTGAAGAAACCCAAGTTGTTCATTCTGTGGAATTTCCTGCAGTTCCTCCGGTTTTACTTAGCATGTTCTTCTAGCCCCTGTTTTTTCCGTGTATCTGT